CTTGGTATATGTGAGGTTGACTGCTCGGGACAGAGCAGTAGACGTCGAAGCTGTTGTGTTGCTTTTGTTGTAGCTGGTGTTGAGTCTGGATGTTGATCGAGCTGTCGAGTCCAGTGTGCAGAGTGTATGCAGATAGTACAGAAGGGACACAGGCCGAGGGAGAAAGGACGGGGTATTTGTAATTTTCCCATAGAACAACCAGAGAGAAATCACTCAAGGTGTCTCACCGTCAAGTTCGGTTCTGCAGAGAACAATATCTGGTTCCAATTCATCACAATAGGTCTGGCCAATACCATTGTTCAGTCCTGTTCGGAGGCTGAATGAGCCCTGCCATTAGCCCCAAGGGGCAGCAGAATGGAAACTCTATTCAAGCATTCAGCCGGTTCACTGTCACCTCACCTATTCACTCTTCACTATTCAAATTAAATGCAGTGGCTGGGAACAATACAATGAGAAAGCAACCTCACTTGAATCGGTCCAGTGACCTAGTGATGGGCTAGGCGACGTTGGTCGTCTGGCTCCGAAGGAATTGAGTTCAAAGGTTGTCAATTAGCCAATGGCCATACCAGGATTGAATGGACCAACGAAGACTCCCGAGTCTGATGTGTTCTCACAGGGTCCTTTGCAACACGTGCTCGAGAAGTGGATCGAAAAGCAGTGCTTCGTCGCAGTTCTCGGGAAAGAAGCTAAATTTTATTCAGGCGCCTGAACCAAATGCTCTTTTTGTGGTTGAACCAAACTCCAGGACACAGGCAACAATATTCAGGGTGGGTACACTCATGCTATTCTCTGATTCGCCAGGAACGTCGATGTGAGCCTCGTAGCTCCCAATGCATCCATGGTTGATGAGAAACATTTTCCCATCAGTCGTCCACAGAACGAAAAATGTGCCGCTTATGGAGAGCAGAGCTGCATGTGGTCACGCCTCGTGTGAATCGACTGCAGTTGTTCTGGTGGGGCTGCTCTACTGCGCACGGACACAACTACCCAACTTCAGGAGGTTGATCCGGTTTCGAAGAGCATCTTAAGGGGCGATTTCAGCAGGACGTACGGCCCAACAGTTTTCGTAGCTCTTTCTGGTAGGATTTGACGGCACTGAAGGTTGAGGACTTGAGAACCTGAGGACTAAGGAACTGACATGAAGTTCCAACAAGGTCTCACTGCAATGACGATCACATGATCTCGCGATTGCCAAGATTTTCGCGCTTCTGGTTTCGACGCGTCTTCTTCTGTCTTCACAATTCAGCGCAGAATCGATGTCAATCGGCGACCTGCATGCGAGATGCAGCTTCTCGTAGGGCTCAATGCCTCTCAGAGAGCTGCAGTGACCTCGCCAGCGTCAGTCCTCCAAGTCCTGGCTCCCCCCGGGTCCGGCAAAACAAAGACGTTGACGTGTCGTGTCGCGTATCTCATTGCCCACTACGGCCATAACCCTCAAAATGTCATCTGTTGCACGTTCACCATCAAAGCCGCACGAGAAATGCGGGAACGGCTGAGAGATCTTGTCGGGTGCGAACTCGAGTCGAAGCTGGTTCTCGGGACTATCCACTCCATCTGTCGACGTTACCTAGTCGCATACGGCCATCTGATTGGAATACCCAAGGGCTTTGGGATTGCCGACAGTTCGGACAGCAATAGCATAATCAAGCGCATCGTCAAACGTCTCAAGCTGTCCATAGAAACCAAAAATGCAAGAGGCAGAATTTCTAGTCATAAGGCCAAAGGGAAAACATTGCAAGACCTGCCCAAGAAACCACCCAAGGAACTCAAGGAACAAGAGTTCATAACCATCTTCCACGAGTATGAAGCAGCATTAGCAACATCCAAAATGCTGGACTATGACGACCTGCTCTTACGATGTGTTGATCTTCTGCGAGCATATCCGGCCTGCGTGTCCAACATCGAAGCGTTGTTGATTGACGAGTTTCAAGACACCAACATTGTACAGTTCGAATTGATGAAATTGCTGGCGTCGGCAAACAGAAAGATAACCATTGTTGGTGACCCGGACCAGAGCATTTATGGATTTCGGTCTGCAGAGATTGAGAACCTACGACGAATGAAAGTCTTTTACCCGGAGACAGTGGTCATCAATCTTGAAGAAAATTATCGTTCTGCTTCGGCCGTCCTGAAACTTGCCCAGGATGTCATTGAACAAGACAGCGACCGTCCGCAGAAGAAAATGAAAGCGACTCACTGTCATGGAAGTCAGCCAGTGCTTCGGCGTCTACCCAATCCAAACGAGGAGGCCTTGTGGATCGCTAGCGAGATCAAGAGGACCATGACCATGACTGGTGGTCTGCTTTTGCACTCTGACATTGCCATCCTCCTCCGATCAGCGTATCTCTCGTTGCTTATCGAACGAGCGCTGGCAAACACTGGCATTCCCTACCGCATGGTTGGTGGCCAACGCTTCTTTGATCGCGTGGAAATTCGAATCATTATCGACTACCTCCGCACAATCAGCCATCCTGAAAACAATCAGGCTTTCACTGCCATTATAAACACGCCGGCACGCAAGATTGGAGATACCTCAGTTGCTGAGATGATCAAGCTCGGGGAAGAACATAAGCTCTCACTCTGGGCTGTAGTGCAGAAGGTTCTCACAGGAGATTTAACGCCCGAGAAGAGGCTTTCGAAGCCTGCAGAGCAGGAGCTGGGCCGCCTGGTGAACCTCATTAGAACCGGCCGACAAAAGCTGAATACCGTCCATCCTGCCGCTACCGTTCCCTCGAAGCTGATTGATTTTGTCGTTGAATCTTTGGATTTTGAGAACTATTTGAAGAAGAAATACAAGGACGACCACGAGGACCGACTTGAGAACGTCAAAGAACTCATCACGCATGCCTCTGAAGTTCTGCTACAGAGTGCCACTGAAGAACCTCTAGCGACTGTTGAAGGGGTGGAACAGCAGGTCTCTAATGGGGGCCAGGAAGTTCTTGCTCAATTTCTGGCAAATATTGTGCTCTCAACCGATGTTGAGAATACCGAGGAGGGAAAGGACAAGCCTCGTGTCACCATTTCAACTATTCACTCAGCAAAAGGCCTGGAGTGGCCCGTCGTATTCATCCCAGCTGTCTACGACGGTTCCATTCCTCATTCTCGAGCCGAGAACACCGATGAGGAACGACGACTGCTGTATGTCGCCATGACACGAGCTCAGGCTCTTCTCACCATGACTTTTCCGGTGATGCAATCCCGGGATCAAGGCGAATCTGTTCTCTCCCAATTTCTCCCTCTCAAAGTCCAACGTCATCTCTCTCAAGTCGGTCCACTGTTCCATGATCGAGTGATTGAGGACATTGCAAGCATTCTTCGACGGCCTATGCCATCTCAGGAAGACTTAGCAAAGAATTTGGAGGGCATAAAGGGCGAAGAAAGTCCAGCCGATGACATTTGGCCTTCCGATGGGAGCCGCCGACCCACGCCGATGCTTCCTGGCGCCACGGATGGCACTACAGAGTTTGGGAGGCCATTGGCAGAGGTCCTTGCTGCCCAAAAGCAACAATCTCGGGGTTACGCGAGTCATGCCCGACCAAACGCTATCTCTGGTTCGGCTGGCTCAGGATTGGTAACCACTATGACCAATGTCGATGCGCTCTCTACATCAAACATGTCTCTTGGCTTCACCACTGCTAGCTATCAGCTGAAAACTAGCGTCTCGAGCCTCAGGAGGACTTCGTCTGATGTTGTCCCACCTGCGAAGAAGCCAAAACTTTCCAAGTCCCTTTCAGGGCAGGGCACTATCGGAAGCTTCTTCTCGAAGCCTGCTTCCCAAGCATCTCAGCAGCCGGGATTTTCGACGGTGGGCTCGCACGTTGGGCCCGTACATCAAAGTAGGTCCATGGAAGGTGGAGGCACGTCTTCTCATCAAGGCTGTGAGGGCCGCGATCTTACCAAGCGCGGCATCCCTGAGGAGTTGTCTTCGCACAGACTAAATTTCCGTAACGGCATGGTTCAAGGACGTCCTACACCTCTGAAGGAAGCACGCGCAGAATCCAAGAATCGGTATGCCGGCCTTTACAGCTCATCACCTCCTCAGTCCCCCGTACAAAAGCGGGAATCGCGTGTTCCAGATGATGCTGCTCGTGAGAATCAAAATTGGAAGGATGCAGTGGCCCCAAAGACATTAACGAATTACTCCCTCGCCAAGCCGGCCAGTACTTTGCACAAGACCACCATGTCTTCGATCGGCGGTGGAGGTTCAGCAAGCTTTTCTTCAGGAGCCGTTAGGAAGACACTTGGGGTTAGACGTACCATGAACGGGTGGGAGAATAGGAAGAATCGGTGATTGAACCTGCGGTCGACGGCTGAATAGGTGCCGCCCTCTTGTTTGTCTGTTATTGGTTCTCACATGACCTTGAATGATACCACGATGTTATGATGGAGTGGACCAATTGGTTTGAGAAGTCGTGGGCCCCATGTCGGTCTACGGTGTCCAGAGATGCGCATAGAGGATAGACAGCAAGGGCAAGATTCGAGTTGAACTGTAATATTAGACAACGATAGTTGTTGTATATGTAATGGATATGGGAAGACACTACATCAAAGGACTGATTGAACGCTTATGGTTCTTTGTTGCTTTCTACAAGTATTTTCGTTCCCCTGTCAGACATGTTGATATCCTGTGGGTAGCCAAAAAGGAGAACGCGAATGCATGGCCTGACTAATAGGAGACAGTGATTCATTCGGGTAGATACAGTATGTAGATATGTAGATATGTAGGAAGAGGCATAGATAGATATATGTTGACTGTGAGAAAAGAGGTAGGAGAGAGCAGAAAAAGGCCTGTTTCCGAGATACACAGGGGAAATAGATGAATACTATGCAATCTTCTCCCCTCACTTCATCTTTTCAACGTTGTCCACGCATCGGTCGGTCTATCCATCTCGAATCATTGACAAAGTCCCATCTTTGAACAGCTCACTGTCTGTCTCTTTACCCACTCACTCCACTGCCTTGTCCCAAATCTCGCCGATCGCAAAACACCGTCCGCTCTTTTACAGAGCAAACACGCCGATCAGTGCGACCGCGATGGCCGAGAGCATGGCAAGGCCGTTCAGTGTCGTGCGGCCCGCTGCACCGGTGTACTGCGCCACCCAGGGGCTGGTGCTCGCGGGGGCGACTGGCGTGACCGGCGTGGCAGAGTTGCTGGCCGCGGCGACCCACGCTGATGGGGACGCGGACACGGGCGCAGACGAAGACTGCACGGGCGCGACGGTCAAGGTGGTCGCGAGGGTCACGCTCGGGCTCACCCACGCGCTGCCTGTGTCCGTCGAGACAGGCGACACGGGTTTGCCGCTGCCGCTGTCGCTGCCGCTGCCACTACCCCAGCCCCAGGATCCGCTCGGTCCTGGAGCTGGAGCGGTCGAGGTCGGCACGACGGCCGGCGAGGTGTTTCCAGCTGGAGCTGCGCACGGCACGGTCGCGACGATCGGCTTGCTGAATGGCCAGCCGGCAGACGGCGTGAAGGTCACGGTCGTCATGCACGCCGTGGGCACGGGGGTCTCGGTGCAGCCGCAGTGCGTGGTCGTGATGGTGGTGGTCTTGGTGGTATAGCCTGTAGAGCACGGTTCCGTCCATGTTTCTGCGACAAGGCACGAAAGAGAGTCAGTTTTCTATCGAAGTCTGTGGGATCTTGGGCGACATCAAAGAAATAAGGGAGCGGTGCTTTTAGAGAGAGAGAGAGAGAGAGACTAGAGACTAGAGACTTACTGGTAATTGTCACGGTCACGATCGAGTCCGAGTCACTCCAGTCGCCCCAGGTCGTTGCTGACGTTGTCGTCGCCGGATCGAAAGGCTTGCTGCTCGATGTGGTCCAGTCTTGCCACTGGAATGTGGACGAGCTCGATGAAGCGGGCGTGCTGAAGCTCACGGGGCTGGAGCTCGGGCCGGACCAGTCTGCCCAGGTCGTAGTAGTGGCGGTGGAAGGCTCGGACGTCGTCGCTGGCCCTCCGCCGTAATGGGTGCTACTACTGCTACTACTGCTGGTGGTGCTGCTGCTGGGGAAGAAAGGTCCTCCCGTAACGGATTGCGACGTGGTGCTTGTCTCTGGAAGGCTGGTGGAGCTGCTGGGGGTTGTGGTGGGCACATACGGCGAGGTGGTCGTTACGGTTGAGCTGGTCGTGTCGATGACAGGCCCACCGGTTGTGGGTGCCGATGTGCTGCTGGACTGGGTGGTCGTCAACGTCGAGCTGGTGGTGTCAATGACAGGGCCACCGGTTGACGGTGCCGATGTGCTGCTTGACTGGGTGGTCGTCAACGTCGAGCTGGTGGTGTCAATGACAGGGCCACCGGTTGACGGTGCCGATGTGCTGCTTGACTGGGTGGACACGGGGCTCGTTGAAGTGACCGGCGTGGTTGTGGTTGTGGTGGTGGTAGTCGAGGTCGTGGTCGATGATGATGACGGTGTCGATGACGGTGCCGATGTCGTGGTGACCAGTGTAGTTGTGGTTGTCGTCGTAGTTGAAGTTGTCGAGGTCGAAGTCGAGGTTGTGGTCGAAGTTGAAGTTGTCGTGGTGACGGGTCGGGATTGATAAATCTTGACAGAGTTGACATCCCAATATGCCTCCCTGAACTGCGCAGGGTTGCTGCCAACAAAGACGGAGCACTGACTCACGCCCGTTCTGGCTGCACAACCACCGCTGGACCAGGTCGCGTCGGCCCAGTCGCCGCAGAAGGTGGTGTCAAAGATGATCCTGTGATCCTCAAAGTTGGCATCGATATCGCAGCCTGGGCCGTTGAAGATGGAGGCCGGCAATCCCCAACCAGAAGGGTCAGGACTTCCAGACGCGATGTCCGAAGGGATGGAGTTTCGGGGGAAGAACCAGATCTTGATGGCGTCCGATTTCCACTCCATCGCATAGACACCACCTCGGTTGGAGTTGAAGCCCGGTCCGTAGCTGTTGGAGTGGGTGTCGAAAGCACCACAACCTTGGGCATTGGCGCCCGTGTTGACGTCGTACTGACAGTTGACACCGTTCGAAGTACCGGTCATTTCCAAGGGACTTTGAGAAATAACGCAGGTGCCAGCAACGTGGGCCGCGGTGAGCACGGTGTTTTGGTTGTTGGCGCCTTCGATAATGTCGACTTCTCCGTCTGAGGTAGAACCACGTTAGTATCCCCATCCTTGAAAAACGACGAGGCCGTTCGTCCATCCTGGAACTCCCACGGGACGAGCGCCCAGACGAAGCAATGGACAAGACTCACTATAGGGCCATGTGCCAGAACCGAGAGTCCAGAATGCTGGCCAGACACCGCAGCCCGAGCCATCTGTCGTGGTAGGCATGTGTTTGATGTCGGCGATAAAGAGACCATGTGTCCACGACTTGACGCTTTCAATCCTGACACTCGGCCGTCCGACACCGTTGATACCCGAGTACGCCACGTTGCCATTGTATGGGTTCTGGCTGTCAACTTTCATTTGTACCGACCCGCCATTCGAAGAGATCAAGTTGTTTGCCCGGGCAGTACCCTCATCAACATAACTGTCCAGAGTCAATCTTCGACATCGCAACATGATCCTCGGGGAACGTACGTGACGAAGCCATGGGTCGGATCGGCGTCCTGAGCACTCGTCAGCAATAAGACTCTATAGCGGATGGCATCCCGCGAACCGCAAAAAAGTTGAACCCATCGAAGAAATTTGAGCCCGAATATTCCGTGTCCAGTGCATAGTAGGTTGAAGTATCAGCAAAAGCAGACGAAGAAAGCAACAACAAAGCAGAAACGAGTGTGGTGCTCGACCTCAGAAGGAGTGATGAGGACGGCATAGTGGTAAACGAGTGACACGCGAACGTGAGATAAGGAATGGACTGGCGACACAAAGCACACGCAACAAAGGAGAAGGGAGACAAGGACAAGTAGGCACAATAGGTTTTCTATAGATGCTCCGAACCAGGCGACGCCATGGCTAGCATCTAGATTTGGGGGCCATCCAAGGTTCCACCCACAACGCTTGTAATGCGCAATTGCCACAAGGCGCTTCGGATGTGGCACGTTGGCTGTAAATTGACTCACCGAATTGGTTAGCGAGATCAAGGTCTCAAGGAGATGTAACGCCTCTCAGGCAAGCCACTCGATCCGGCATATTGAACATGCAAGGATCCTTACAAGGAGGATTCAGGCTCCCGCGAACAGGTCGGACGACGGCACATTCAGTCTGTCTGGTGCTTAGGAAGCGTCTGCTTCATCTGAAATCAAAGGCTGTGGAGGCCTCAAAAGCCGTTGATCGATTTTGGATGGGTATTGTGGGAACAGCTCCGCATCCAATTTAGAAACCGATCTCGAGTCCAGTCGTCAGTGTGGGAGCAAGCGAGGCTTTCTACCGACGTGATGGAATTTGTGTGGGAATGGGTCGGAGAAAAGGTAAAAAGGAATAGTCCAAGCAAGCGTCGAAAAGGAGGCAAAGGAGGCACAGATAGCCTCGTGATGGTGGAGCTTAGTTATTGCTTGGCGCCAGCTAGGCCAATCAAGATGACATATCAACTCCACTTGGACGTCCATAACGTCCCGAAACGGAAGCAAACAACTCAAAAGTTCCCCTGAACCATGCAATTTCTTCGTCACTATCCCTTGTCTGAGGTGTCTATTATTATTTGTTGTCGTTGCTTCTTCTCTATTCGTGAACTGTGGCTGAGCTGTGTCGAAATCGTTCGGGCCACGATCGCCAGCCAGCCACGTGTCGCTACTGAAGTCGGGGCGGATCGGGCTGCTGGTAGGGTGATCACCCGCACCGAATCTGTTTTCCACCACCGCATTTTGCATGTTTTTGGCGAGTCAACAGGCGACAGCGCGTGTAAACATTGGGCGTTTGAACTTTCGAATGAGTGATTGCCCACATTTAAACGGGAAATGAAATTGCCATGCCCAATTTGATCCTGACAAAGTCGACCTTAACGCCAAAAACATAACAGGGCACTTGGTGAACGCGTCCTTGAGCAACACATTGAGTCCCACGAGCTATATAAATGTCTGCATGTCGACGTCCGCGGTGAGCGCCCACGATTAAACCAACCTGCCGATCACACATCTGTTGAAGGCATGCCTAAGTGAGTCAGCAAATTACTTCCCATATGCAGCCTTCGAGTTATATTCTTTGCTGTGTGTTGGCATGCATGCATAAATTTGCGATCCGCGGTTGAAGCGCGATGGTTTACGCCAAATCAGGACTTCTACTAAATATGATGAGTAGCATGTGTCCAGCGCTGCCATAACCTATCAAATTTCAGTGTACCTTCAAAGTCTGGCTCCAGGCGTAAGCTTGGGGGTTGACTTACCAGCTTCTCGTCTTTCCTTGTGTAGGGGACTGGGACTGTTGCTTCGTAAACCATTCAACCGCCTTGAAGACAATTTGTATCTGCTTCTTTCGAACATCGAGTTCATCTTTCCTGAAATCGCAGCGCAGTTGCCAGAGACAAAATCTAGCTGACACAGCATAAATATAGCCAGCGTGCAACGCGTCTTGTTGCTGTGAGCGAGTTAAAGGAAATGCTCCGAGGCTTCTCTTTCATTTCCCCGAATATGGAGCGTGTCTTTGTTGGATCGACCACTGTGCGAATTGGCAATGTATAAGATGTACATCTGCCATGCCAGTTTCGTGTCTCGATTGGGGACCTGTCAAGATGGCACCTGAAGTTGAATTTAAGCTCTTTGGTACTAGAGTCCTTTATTGGCGCTCGAGTTGAGCATGCTGGAGGTTTGCGAAACCGAATTGAGAACCTCTTCAGTAGTAACTGCGAATGCAGTATTTACCGATCAAGTGTCCATTGATGGTATGGGAGTCACTAAGGGAACCGTACGAGGGTGTACTTCTCTTCCCAGGATGAACTCGAGGTGATGAGTGAACAATGGCGCCGCAGATAAAGTGTTGGAAAAGCCGACAAGTCATGTATGTAAGCGAATATTCTCGGAGGAATTGTCATATACTTTCTCCCCGTCCAAGAGCCTCTTCACTTCCTGAACTTTGCCCGTCGACGTATCAGTACCTGGCCGGCTAGTCATCTGCAAAGATGTGGTAATGCTTCCTTGATGATAAAGGACGGAGAAACTGCGCAAAACTCTTCCCCAGCTCCCTTTGGTCCCTCAGGGCGTCGTCTTACGCAAGCAGGCTCGAATGATCCGGCATTGGTAGTCCACCCATGCTCTCGTTCCCACGTCCATCCGCAACCAGTCGGCAGATGTTATTTCTGTGGGGGAGACCACCTCAAAACTAGTCGCAGTATTTGGAGGAGTTACGACGTGGTGACCCCAACTCATCATGCATCTCCATGGATGTCCCTCACGACGATGATAGCGCATTTCACCGGTCGACACAGGATGCGACGGTCGCAGACCCTCTACCTGTTCCCTGATACCCGCAGGCCCCGGTCAGGAAGTGGTATTGTCAACATCACGGCCGTTCTCAGACAACCAAGATGCCACTGATTCGAGTGGGAATTGTTGGCGCCGGCATCGGTGGCCTGGCCGCTGCCATTGCCATTGCCCGCAGTGGATGTAACGTCACGATCCTCGAGCAGGGTGTCGACATAGGCGAGATTGGCGCTGGCATTCAGCTGCATCCCAACGTATCCCGTCAACTGATCCGCTGGGGTGTCGACAAGATCATTGAGAATGACCTGGTCGAGCCGGAAGAACTCAACACTTGGGACTGTGGGAGCGAACTGCGCTTGATCGGACGCACTGATCCGAAACAGGTCGCGAGGCAAGCCGGCTTTCCCTGGTGGGTGGTCCGTCGCGACCATCTCTACACGGGACTCGCCCAGTCGGCCTCGGAACATGGCGTCAAGTTGATCATTCAAGCGAGAGTGGAACACATCGACGATAGCTCGTCCCCTGTGATGGTCGTCACATCCTCTGGACAGACGTACGAGTTTGACCTCTTGGTCGGCGCGGATGGCCTCAGATCTACCGTCAGACAATATCTCTATCCTGGCGTCATGCCATATCCGCCTAACAAGCTATGTGCCTATCGAGGCGTGCTACCATTCTCTTTGATCTACAGAGAAATTCCCGAGGCAAAACTATTCGTCGGTAACAGATTGGACACTTGGGTCGGACCAAAAGGGTGTGAAACATGACTGCTTGGAGCTGCAGAGTTGAAAAGCTTACAGAAAGGACAGATATGTGCTGACCTATCCTACTTGCGGAGGAAAAGAGCTGAATGTCGTGACCGCAGCCGAGTCCAAAGACTATGTGACCAAAATGGAAGACATCAACATCGAAGACTTCTACGGGTAGAGAGGTATAGCCCCCATCTCAACATGGCTGACCATGTCCGTGACAGGTTCTATACCAACTTCCATCCATTCGTCCAGAAGCTCCTGCGTCTGGTCAAATATACCAAACGCTGGCCTTTGCTGCAAACACCTCGAATGCCGTCCTGGTCCAACAAAGCCAAGAACATTGTCATGATAGGCGATGCAGTTCATGCAATGCAGAACCATATGGCCCAAGGTGCGGGAACAGCTATTGAAGACGGAGCATTCCTGGGCCAGGTCATTAGCGAGGTAGCCCGCGGCGCCATCGACGTGTCGGAAGCCGTGACTCTGTTTGAACAGAGACGGATGCCGAAAGCATGGATCAAGCAACAACTCAGCCTCCAATCCGGGTCAATGTATACCTTGGCGCGACCGGAGGATCGTGAAAAGCGCAACCGAGCGGGCAGGTTTGAAGTCGCCCGGTGGGAGGACAACCCAGCCCGACAGGAGCACAGCCATATCGAATACCGCAATTGGCCGGTGGCCCGTTGCCTCGAGACGGCCAAATCAATTTGGTATTACGATGCCGAAGGAGACGCCGACAATGCAGTGCTGGAATATTTGATGAACAAGGGCACCGTGGACGGTTTCACTCAGATGAGTGAGAATCTAAGCCACAAATGGAGTTCGATCGTGTTTGGAAACGGAGTCGACGGCAGCTGGGTCGAGCCCCAGGTCGACTACCAGCACATGAAGAGCTCTCTCTACAGAAGCAACGAAGCCGTGAGGGATGGGATACAGGAGTACGGTCTGCATGAACAGGATTATGATCGTTTCGGAAAGGGGTTGTAACTGCGCCAGAGCACAGCAGGTAATGTTAGCAGGCGCCAGTGCCGCAAATAATTAGCTTGTAACCTAAAGACCTACCACCCGGTTAGTGTCTTACTAACTACATCTTTTAACGTCATCGATGTGTCGAATAAGGAAATAAAGAGCACAAGCAAAGGCGGGGTTGCGGTCTGCAGCCACAATGATCAGCTGCGCCCCAGGCTGCCCAGTTAATATGAGCTGAGATGCCCCCGCTTCTGCCTGCGCCCAACGCTCTCACCACTCTGTACCACTCGCTTTCTGTGCCTTCATCCTCCGACATGTGAAGCTTACAATGGAGCTTCCAAGCTCTCCCTCTCGGTGATTGGCACAGCTCAAAACTGATCAGCCTGACCGCATCTCTCAACCCAGAATGCCCAGTCAGAAGCTTAGCGGGCTTGCGGGGTCTTGTTCGAGGCTGTGAGGGATGGATGTGTTTCCACGCCCAAGTCTGTTACCCTCGTTTTTTTTTTTTCAATCGACCAAAGTCTCCAGTCCACCGGCTCATCAAGCTGTATTTTCCCTGCATGCACCCAGAATCCACGGACTTTTAGTCGTTAGTTGCATCCACCTTCATCTTGCGCCCCGTCCCAAAACCGTTGTCCGCCCTGTTCCGCACATCCCATTGGGAAGAAACACGCGCCTACAGCCGGCGAGCCAATCTAGAGAGGGGATGTCATCTGCCACGTTTTCAATGCCAGGCATAC